AATTTTATATAAGGCACTGTCATTCTAATTTGCATACAATCATGCGTTGGACAAATATCCATATCTTTAGAATTGTGAACCTCTTTTGATATCTGCTTTTACTTCAGACATATTTTAAATGTATTGATTGCTAAAATTGTTGTATACTTTTAGTGTACTGGACTCGCAGTAACCATTTTTGACTAATGCATAAGTGTGCGCGTTTGAACGTAAATGATTTATGAGAACAAGGTGTGAAGATTTTATTTATTTATTCACGCACGGATGTTAACTATAAACGTGGCCAAAGTATCAAACACGTGCCGCAGTGACATCGGCCATCGTTTCATGAATATTTGACGTTCAATTTTGATTTAATGCAATTTTTTTTCGATCTCATATTTGAAATTTGATAAAATGAGAATTTAAAGTGTACCAAGGAATTAGAATCTGTGGCAAGTCTTGCCTCGAAATTACTTTACTCACTGCAAGACCTTGAAATTCTATACGTATATAAAGAGTTCTGCGAATGACTCGTCGCGGTCGAGAATATTAGACGCGGAAAGCGAACTAGTCCGTTCGGCCTTCTCTTTGCCGCAACTGCACTTGTTAAAAAAAAAGTAATTTCTCAGATTCTTCACGCTTTTATAAGATGTTCGATCGATAAGTACGTTGTTCAATGATGCTCAAAAATAAATATGACGCCAATTCAAGCATATTCAAGTTCTTTTGCATCGCGATATGGGTTATTCTTCTCAAATTTTGTCACGTATTCAACCTAGAATAAATATAATAGCCTAAAATAAACATACGTACATAATTGTGCGCAGCAGCGATTATAAAAATGGATCTTTCGAGTGCATTTCTGGTGCAGCTTTTCTTCGCAAGAATTATGTTAGTAAAACTGCCGATTTTCCGTGGACAGGATAATTCTAAAAGTTTGACGGAATAGCTCTGCAGTCGAAGCATCGCATTATTCTTTATAAATCTGTAGGAGTTGAAAAAAGATATACACGGAGCCGAAGAATAAGAAAATTCTCACAATAATGAAGGAATTCTGCGGTGCAACTAGTACGGAACAGACATAGTGCGCTCTGGGCGATAAAAAAATTGAGTCTCATTATTCAACAACGTAGAGCTCCGAGTCACCGGGCAGATATCCTTTTTTTCTCGCAAAATATATTTTATGCTTGCGCGAGAAGGCTTGCCTGGCGTCGATCTCTTTGTTTTCTCTCTCTCTTATCCATCTCTCTAGATGGTGCATGCAGAGATATAATGTGCGCCACATACATAGCAGAGGCACTTGGTGAGACAGCATCGATATTCAAGCACAAGATGCTTTCTTCATTGCCGTGTTCTATAGCATACAGATCAAGCAGTTCTGGTTTTTTCATTCAAGGCTCTTCGTTTCTCTTTTTTCCTCAAACTTTGGCTCGTGGCATTTCTTTTTCTCGATATTGTATATTTTCAAAGATCGCTCGGTGTAATTTGAATCGTCGTCATCTATATTTGTAAAATCGAAAACTCTACTCCGTGACTCCATTCGAATGAAGTATAAAAATTGCTCGATCGATCAATAACATTTTTTGGGAAATAAGTTATAGATTGATAATCAGTCGCGAGTTCATAAGTATATAATAGATATATGTAGATATAAATAAAAGACAAGGGAATGCTAATCACTTGGTAAAACGAAGCACGCAGAGCGCGCATTCATACATATATACGCATGATATATGTAGCAGGTGTATATTGGAAGTAGAGATAGAAAGTCGTAGTGAGTAAAAGGTACAAAGTTCATTTGCCCCAACCCCCGTGGGCGAAACAAGCCACTCGCGACGATTAAAACCTAGACTCGCAAGTTATCTACTGCTCCGTTCGGCTTCCATATGATGCGCGCAATTATACACATACTAGCAGGCACATGCATGTCTGTGCACTCGTATGTACACATACTCTTCATTAAAACGAGAGACACCGAATTGAGACCAAGAGCCCCGGCTTGTGCTTTCAGTGCAGGGTCACGCACATATTATGGACGAATGGGCGAAACGACGAGAGAAATTCGTTACGCAACTCGTACATGTTTTGGTATGTGCAAACTGTATGTGCAGATAGAAATTGCGTGGATAATAACGCTGGCATGAAAATAGAAGCTCAAGAAGTAGCAGCGGCAGGACACTTTCGCGCGAATACATATACGCGCTCGGCACGTGGATGAAAAATGAAGCAGCCGCGCGAGGGTTGCACCGAAACTCGCGTGGCAAATATTTGACATTCAATTATCATTTATTCAGTTGTTTTTCAAGCTAGCTTTGCCTTACATACATTACGCGTGGCGCATCACATGTACGCTCGGGCGCACTAATACCTATAACGACGACGACGACGACGACGACGACGACGACGACGACAACGACGTACGTGCATAAGTCATGTGCAATACGCGTGTACGTATATATACCGCAGCACGTGTGCCGCGCGGCAATATAGCGTGCCACTTTCCAACTTCGTACTTTTATTTATATACGCGAGCCAATCCTCTTTCTCTACTTACCATAGTACCTTTTTAATTAAATTTTTCAATTATTACTTCGATCACAGGCATCTCTCTCTGTAGGCCAAATGCCCACGAATAATCATGAAAATTCTGCACATATCGGCCAAACTAGATGCCACTATTTCGCTAATTTAAAGTATGTACTCGCGCACCAAATACCGCATGCACGTGTACTTGTTAATAGCTTTTTTGGCTGATGAATCTAATTGAATTTTCCTTTACGGATAATCAATTTATAAACTAGGAGGTTGTGAGGCCAGGTCGCATCATCTAATTTGATATAAAAATTCACCAATATGGGTAGGCAGTTATAGTCAAATTCTATATAGTATCATGATTGTTAAAAAAAAATTCTTCAACTTATTGGTACTTTTAAGTTGCAAAAAAATGTCAACTAGCCCAATTATGAAATTAACTATTAAACAGTATTAAAGAAGGGAGGAAGGGTAAGGGTTGCCATCTTCATTTAAGTTATTGATAATGAAAAATATGTGGTTTGCTTACTTACCTCCAATTCCAACATGCCCCGCTTTCCCCTACGAATCGAAACTTCATTAATGCATGTATATAGAAGCATTGCACAAACCACGGCACGTGGGTGGGGGTGGGGAGATGAGAGGCTATGAATTCGTTTGAAAAGACCTCGATGATGATCGGACGGGGCAAAAATTCATTTCCCAAAGCCGTCAGCCGATAGAACGTAATCTCGCACGCCGCGAGTCATCTTTCGATGAGGAAAAAACGGCCGGATGGCTGTAGGTGGGAGTGAATGAAAGAACAGTGTCTCGCGACCGCATCAATGACAATTTTCAATCTACTTTTTTTCCTGCTGCGTACAGACGGATGAAAAAAAAAGTCGAGCAACTGATGGATGCATATTGGACATTTTCGAGTGTTCGAGTGACTCTACGCATGTGCTATGTGCAGTCCCAAGTCTGTGGATGACGAATAATTCGCTTTGCGACTCGACTATTCCTCGTTACAAAAGCATACTTATATCTATACATATTTAAAATTATATATACGTATACATTTACATCCACAAGAACGCACGCGCAAGTGAGGGAAAATAGGCAGCTCGCTGCACAACCAGCAGCGAATATCGGAGCAATTTAATTTGTAAATTCCTCGAGGCTATGGGGAATGACAGTGCGAATAACACGCTTCAATTTTAAGCCCCAAAAATTAAGTCTTCCATGTTTCTCTATTTTTATGATCATAAACTAATGAGTTGCTGAGGTCATCTTAACTTTTTTTATATGACTTTTATCGTAAAGCTATATTGAGCAAAAAATCGATTGGATTTCTTTGAGTAGCATCTTTGCAACTTTATTCCTAATTGTTTTTGTATTTCCGCGTTATTAAAAAAAAAACAAAAAAATATCTGAAAAAGTAGAGAACGCTCAGTTCTAGCTTTACCTTTTCTTCAATTTATTTTTCTATTCTCATAAACTTACAGCTTTTTATTTGTCTTTATTTTTCTAAGATGTCCCTAATGACTGTCCGACTCCGTTTGTTGGACAAAATCAATTGCGAGTGCCTCAGCTCAAGGTTGAAAAAAAAAGAACTTACCGCCTCGCATGAATTTCCTCTTGAGAGCTTTGCGACGCCGAACCTGTTTATAAGTAGCCTTTTTATAAGTATACATCGTTGAATATAAAACAAATGAATGTGAGCTTTTCGAGGTGCTAAAGAGCACTTCGGAGACTCGAGGAGACTGAGAAAAAGACCCAAGTTACGGACATTTTTTTATTCTCCAAACGACGATGCTATATACAGCTAGGCTTATTAAAAAGGCTGATGGGCTGAAGGGACTGTTATTTTTCACTGCGTTTTGCTTTTCCTGTCTTACCTTTTCTCCTTTGCCCTTAGCTGTTTCTCTTCTCCGCCTGACTCCTTTTAACCGTCTCGGTAAAAGCACGATGATTTTTCCAATTCCAAGCTCTAGACATATGAAATTGTTTTGAATAAAAAACTTACCTGCAAGCATCTTCATACAGATGAAATGTGAGAGCAAAAGTCACTTGCAAAATTATAAATTAATCATGTAGCATCAATATCCGCTAGAAAAGCAGCTCTAAGCTGCGATAAATTTTATTTTTCCTATTTTCAAGTACAACTCTGAGTCAAAGCGCAAGATGTGTCACTGCTCAGTCTATGATAAGATTTGAAGCTAGTTCACGTACGTTTATACTTTGTATACGTTGATGTAGGAATTTGACCTCGCAAAAATAAAAGTACTCGCTATCGCGAAAATTTAGTATTTTCATACAAGCAAATAATGCGCCAAATTGATCCGAAGATGAAGATAACTCACGATGCGGAATTAAAAGAAAAATAGAGCGGGGGGAAATAAAAAATGAATTATACACGTAGTAGTTGTTACATGAAAAGACTCGTAGACGTTGTTGAATGTCAAGGGTGTTTCGGGTGACAGCCCTCCATCCATGTTTGAATGTAGTTGTATTACCATTACAGGTCTGGAGCGGGTCGCCGAGGAGTTGATGGGCCGTAGGAAATGGAAGCAATACTCGGACAATATCTACACCAGCGACACCAACAATACAAGCTCCACGCCGGCGTCCGACGCGGCCCAGCAGCAGCTACAGCTCCTACAATTACAGCAGCTGGCACAGGTGAGCTCGCAAGCACATACTATTATAACCGCGAGTGCACCAACGAGTATTCGGAGGCCAACCGATAAAGTTCCCAGTGCGATATCGATTCAAGAAAAATGTTTACGCGTGAATCTTTGACGGATGCAAAGCCGCACTCGGTGTATCCATGAATTCTCTCTCTTAAGCGCGCGTCCACGAGCTGTCTCGAGAACATGGTGTAAAAAGGCTATGTAAACGCTCAACAGGTGCAGCAACAAGCAAAGCCAGCCGATTCGCCGAGTCAAACGCTGAAAGCAAATTTGGCCAATCAGTTGCAGACAACTACTATTCAGCAAAAGTCAACGGTAAGCGCGCTAACGGGAGGCGAGACATCGCCTCTCTGCGCGGACGAAGTCGCGACGACGGGTGGCCCAGAGAACGGACGCTTGGCCGAGGTTGCCCGGGAAAACGGTGAAACGACAGGAGGCGGCGGTGGCAGCGGTACTGGCGACTCTCGACACAACAACGAGACGACCGGCCAGCACCTCGATCATCTTCTCTCCAACGAGCTTCGCGCCTCCGACGACGAGGATCAAATAAGGATCAAGCGCGAGAGGCTCGACGACGAACAGAAAACGATACCTAGCCCGTTGGACAAGGATCCCAACGACTCGGAAGGGACCAAGGTAAATATATCGCTGTGGTTCGCTTGGCCCAAAGGCTGCAACTTTTAAACCTCTCGATTTTCTATTTTTCCAGATAAAGGAAGAAGCCAACTCAGAAACGACGCTCAAAGTAACGCACGGTCTACTGAGGGTGAAGAAAGAGGAGGAGCTTCAAGAGACACCGGGCCCAGGTGGCGGCGCAGTCGGCATCGTTTGTCCGGCAAGGCCGACCTCGACGCCTCTCCACAACAATAATAACAGCAGCAACAGCAATAACAACAATAACAACAACAACAACGGTCCCTCGGAACAGCTGCAGGAGCAACGTAGCGCCTCGACTCCGCCGAAAAAGGAATTGGTGACTTTTAACGCGGCGGCGTATGTGCTAGGCAGAAGGCCAAGTCCGCCACCAGAGGACTGGAAGCCGCTCGACAAGTGTTACTTCTGTCTCGATGGCAAGTTGCCGAACGAAGAGCAGCCACCTCTTGTAAGTCTTTATCCGCAATTGACTTTCGTTTCGTACGTCGAAAGGATCGGCGAATCATCGAGTACTAATTTGTTATTGTTTCGTTACGCAGAGTCCACGCAGCGAAAGTAGTCAAAGTTCGCGTTCGGCCGAGTCACCGATGTCTGTACAAGTGGATCCGATGGCGGCGTCGGTGGTGGCTGCCGCTCTCAGCGGTACCTACCCGACTCTGCTGCCCCAGTGGGTCTTGCGACACCAAGATGCGGCACAGATCGCCGCCGCAGCGGCGGCCGCAGCTGCGGCTGGTCACACCGAGAACTCGGGTGCCGATCAGCCACTCGATCTCTCCGCAAAGCCAAAAATTTCGGTAAGTCTGGAACCGTTTTAGGTTTTTTACGCGACGACAAAACGCCCCGATGCACGAGCTATAATGCACATGTCGAGTTCTAAGCTTACTTGTTTGTGTGTAACGTGCAAGTTTACGTCGATACTCGACTGCACTACAAGACTCAACTGGCTTAATTTTCTTTTCTAGGACAACAATATATCTATACTGGATCAGCAAAAAATACCTCTACGAATGGCCGCAGCTATCGATCCAAAAGCTATCTTTAAGTAAGTCAATTGCTTTAATGTCGAACCTATACAACTATAGATAGTGTAACACGCACACATAAACACAAACTCGTTCACGAAATCCATCCGCATTTTTTTCTACGCGCAATTTTTTTCTTTCTATTTATATCATGCCTGACTATTCGATCCTTGCGTAACAACATTGTTTGTTCGCGCAAAGCAACATTAACTGCAACTAATTTTCGCGATTGAAAAAGTATCGCGTCGCGTAAATATATTTTCCTCGATAGGAAATACTTAAAAATATCATCAGCTATAAGATAAATGCGAGAATTCGTAGAGTGCACACGTGACACTTGGGCATGCATATATGCAGCTTTAGCATCCTTGAACGTAAAAAAGCCAAGTCTCTAGGTTCGAGTAGCTCGCGAACGATGCGGCGAGTTTTTACGCACAAACAGCACACACGCCAACTCGAGCGTAGTTTGTGCATCCAATAAGGATGTAGCCTACTATTATTATCAATGTTAATAAGGATCGCGCGAGCGTAGAATTTATCGTCGATCCGCTTATCTGATGGAATTCCGAAAAATTTCGCGCTCGTAAATGCAATCGAGAGTGCCTTATATTAATATACGCTTTTATCTAGCGCGCATCCGTTGCGTAAGCTCGCGCGCGCTCGAAAAAAGTTAGTCACGATCCGATTCTGAGCTTCGGGCGTGCTTATCGCTCTCGTGGCATTCGTCAGCGGTGCTTTTCAAACGCGCTTGCGTTTTTCGCTTAAATTCTAACGAGTCGAGCGCGCGCCACTCGGTCCGCCTGATACGTCGTGGTCGAGACAAAAAGTTCGTTCATCGATGTGCAGCCGTCGAAACGAGTTTTCGTCGTTAGTCATGATATTTTTTTGAAAAGCCGTTCATCCTCGCGATGATCGATGAATCACGAGACTTTACCGCATACAATAATGAGCCGTGGCGAGAAATATTTTCACGAGCGATGATACGCGAAGTAAATACAAACGCGCAATTTGCGCTTCCAGTAAAGCTACCGAAATTACATACGACTAGACTATATCTGCGTTCGGGCTCGGTAACAAAGGTATACGTGGTAAGGAAACTTTACAGGCTAGAGAGCCGAGTCGAGCGTCGTCTTTCTTACTTATATCCGAGTGCGTATACACATTCGCGCCAGCCCAAACGAGCCGTCCAATTGTTGTAATTTTCGTTCTCTCCGAAGCGACTCTCTGCGAGATCGACTCGTTATTATTGTCGTCTTGCTAGTATATTTGTTAAATTCAAGTATAATAAATTTTTGTCACTGCGCTCGGGCTTCATCCAGGATCGAAGGCAATTACGAGTTGAGATAATTAAATCCATAATTAAATAAGGTAAAGCCGCAAGCGCGCGCAGCCTTTCGACCTATCCCAATTCGCCGTAGGAACGACCGCATGCGATAATACACGTACACTCGTCGGTTGGCGCGTACATACCCGCGTATATATGCAGTAACGAAAGGGCCGCCAGAGAAATCTACGACAATTTCGCGGAGCACGCATAGTACGTCTCCGAGGGGCAACGACGACGACGACGACATCGCACTCTGATAAAACATTATAAAGACGGCACAAGCGAGAGAAAAGTGCGTTGCCCTCGTGCACATCGTCATCGCGTGGCTCGCTTCACAGCTCTCTTCACATACATGTATGCGTACGTGCTCATCGATGTGGACCCTCTTTACTTCTTTGGCTTTCCAGCAGCGATAACGCGTGCGCACATATATTTTCGCGTTTTTTCGCTCGGTCCGAAAGATTCGAGAGGCACTATCGCGCTCTTTCCTCTTAAATCGCCAGCCGATAAGTGCGTCAATTAGTTGCTTATTTTTCAGTGATTTATCGAAACTGCTCCGTGCGCATCCCAAGAGGGGAGTGGAGCCGCTACGCGCATAACAATAATAGGCGCGCTCCGCCACGCGATAACTGCACGCCACCGAAATTTGGCAAAAGTTACGGAAAGCAGCGAGTTCGTGTTTGCGAATGATTAGGCGGTTGATCGAGCTTCATTGTCGGACCGATGTTTGCCTAGTAATTTCTTGAACCCGTGGCCCCCAAGAGTGTCTGCGGCGGTGTCGAGAGTGAAATTGCACGCGTAGAGCATCGTGTAAGCTTCGGCAGTTGTAACGGAGTCATCCGAAACTCGGCACGCCTTCGACATGCACCTGCTATAGTGCGCTGCTCGATTGTTATCGTCGAATTTTATCGCTATTATCTAACACACGTGTCTACAGTTGCGACTGCACAATACGAGCCGCTCTTTATCATGCGCTCCGAGCTTTGGTCTTTTTCTTTTTGCATATAGCCGGTTCTACATCTCTCTTAATATTCGTCGACACAATGCAAAATCACATAGCTACATTATGCATGTGGTTTTTCGCCCAAGTACATGCAATTTTTAGCAATATTTTCTAAATTCATTCGATTTCTCGCTAAAACTTCTTACCTTTTAACTTGCGAATAAAATACTTACCATAAGCACGTAACGAACTTTACATACAAGATGAATTATTTAACAAAAAGGTACCGCAAATGAATAATATGCTCTCACACGCTTTTATTTAGCTTATTTTCTTCATTAAATTTGTAACTTATGCTTCAGATTTTTTTTTTTTTTTTTTTGGAATTTTATCAAGTTATTAAACTTTTGAGGCTTCAATAACTATATAGATTTTAAGCTCAATGTAAAGTTGATGCTTCACTCGTTGTTACTTTTTGACAGGTGAGGGCTTGAGCAAGTATTATTTTAATCGATCATCAAATTGATAATTCGTGACGTATTCTCGAGTAGCATTATTACTAGATGGCTTGGCTTTGTACTTGAATGCAAAAATGCACAAAACTTTTAATTTTGGATTTTATAAAACTGATGAGTGTCCCGATTCAATTATGGGCAATTTATAAATAAATGAGTGGTCAGAAATAAAATAACAAAATTATAAAAATAAAAAAATAGTTAGTGCAAGTATATAGAATATGTGTGCAAGGGAAACGAAAGACTCAAGGTGGCACCGTCGCCGTCTAAGCGTCGCACGTGAGCGCGTACTTTTATCAACGAATTTGCGCCGGCGCTCGAAGCTTGCCTATATACACGTAAATGTATCTTGGTATATATATGCTCGTATGTGCGACTATGTACTGCTTTGCGCTAGTATGTGTATGTATATTCGTGTGTGTCGTCTACGCGAGGTCAACGAACCCTGCCTTGCAAGCTTGTGCGCTCAAGGGAGGGTGCGAGCTTACACGTATGTGTATATAATAGCAAAGTGCATATACGAGGAGGGCATCTCGTCCGTAATGCGCGAGCGTGTGTATGAGTATGTGTGTACACTGCAAGAACCTAATCTTATCGTCTGTGAACGTCAAGACGAAGAAGATACTTTATCCGTCGTTGGTTTTGCGCTTGCACACACGTACATGCCTGACTTTCGATATCTATCGGTCAAATATCTCGTGAGCCGTGTGTGAGCGTGTCAATGTTTACGTACAATCAGACGACTTCTCCTTTGCAGTTCAACAAAATAAAGACGACGACCGTATTGTCAAAAAATTAACGAAATATACGTAAGCTTTAACTCTGAATTTCGACGGAAAAAATGTTACCTTAACTTATCATTATTTGACAGACACCGAGCATGCTAAACTTTATTATAACTTTCGTTTGTGCGAAATTAAATAATCACCTATTTAGCTAGAAATTCTTTTTTAAATATATACTTAACTATAGATTGTAATTTGCCAGTCTGAGTTACTAAAAACCAGTGCTTGCTTCGTAAACACGAGAAAAAGAAAAAAATTAAATAAATAAAACAATGTTTTAATCGAGTATTTAACAAGTGTTGATAATGCAACTATAGATAAATTTAATCGAACTATAACTTACCCTTTTGTAAATTGTAGCAATTCACTGTACACTAAAAATATCATTGAAATAAAAAAAAACTTGTCATCATTTGGCATTACATATTTAAGAAAGATATACTTTTCGTACAAAGTAGATCAATCTTGTTGAATAGCAATAAATATTTACAAGGAATTCTCATAATCGGGCACACTCACCGGAGATATATCGTAGACCGAGAAATTGAAATTAAATTAAACAACCACAGTCACAAGTTTACTTTTCAATAACAGACTACTGAGTGTTTTTCCGAATCAATCATTTCTTAATAAATTTTTTTAAAACTATCAAACTCTTAAGAAGTATTTCAGGAGAACAATGAAGATTTACTATTAACTTTAGTTGTAAAGACTAAAGATCTATCAGTTACCCAAATTATGATTCGAGGATAAGTTGATGAAAAACTAATTGAAGATCCGCTACATTCTAATCGCTTGTCTGACTAATTTTGTTTCTTTCTACTTACACCACGGACTCGTTTTTAATTTTGATTTTTAATAAACTTTTAAATTTTTGGTAAATAATATTTTATGTCTATTAGTAAGATCGAATGTTTCGCTCAGAAAGTATCGTTTATTATTTGATCTTCGGCATGAGGCAATTTTCAATTGATGACTAGAGCGCATGTTATTGCACAAGCGTCGAATAATTGCGCGTATACGAAGTAAACAGGCCGAAGCGCTGGGTTTTTCACGGGCACGAGCTATTTTTTTTTTGCTCCGAACAAACAAACCTTGATAAATTATCGACTTAAATACGAAGTCACGCAGCGAATACCGGAAAAAATGTGGCAAAACGCGTGATTGGATTGCAAAGGAAGGATGTTGTCGGTTGCTTTAATAATAGAAGTATAGGGTCGGCTCGGAGAAGTTTTGGATAAAGGGAAAAACTGACTGGATTGAAAATTGTTGCAGCAGCACGTGCTACAGAGCGAAGCCAAGGGCGCAGGGCGGCGGTGCAGCGGGAGGCGGCAACGCGGTGCCCGTAGCGACAGGTGGTGGAGGTGGTCGGCGCACTTATACCGAGGACGAGCTGCAGGCGGCGCTGCGCGACATCCAGAGCGGCAAGCTCGGCACGAGGCGGGCCGCCGTCCTCTACGGCATCCCCAGGAGCACCCTGAGGAACAAGGTCTACAAGCTAGCGATGGAGCGCGAGAGGGACGCCACCCTCAACAATGCCACAAGCAACAACAACAACACAGCCACCACCCAGAACAATTCGAGCACGAACAACAACAGCACGACTCCGACGTCACAGAACAACAACAATAACAACGAGGTGACGGCGGCGGTGGTGCTCGCTTCTAATAGCAATAACGGGCTCAAGCACAACAGCTGTGCCGACGTCATCGCCGCCGTCGCCACTGGCACTACCACCACCAACAACTCCACTATCACCACACCAAATACCAAACGACAAAATGCCACAACCGCGAACGCGCAACTGGACGAGGTAGGTTTTGGGGACGTTGCAGCCAGACTTTTATTCAACCGATTTTTTACCTTTTTTTACTTCTTTCTTTCTTTCTTTCTTACTTTCTTACTTCAATTCTATTTTCTTTTCACCTTCATTTTTTCAGTTACTATCATTTTTACTCATATTTATTAATCACATCACTTTGATGATCATGATCCATAATTTTGTTTATCACCGCAAAGCTGAAAATGATCTCAGGAAATATTTTAATGTTAATATTAGACATTTGTGAAAGAAAATTCGTGCTACTTATTGGCATCGTGTAAATATCGTATCCAGCCTTGTAGATCTTGAACTTTTTTTACCTGATCACAATTCATTCGTTCGAGTCAAACATTCACCTGACGAACATGCTTCGCCAACTTGCAGTAATTTTTCGCGGCTAAAGCAAATAATTAAGATACATCGATTACTAATAAACAAAAGAAAAAAAGATATTTTACAAATTTTCGCTGTTTATTTTCTGAAACTGGTATATGAGAATTGTTCTAAGTTGAGTTATTCTATATGGTTTACATAAAAGAAAAACTAAAGGAAAGCTTCCCCAAAACATACCTCTAGCAGGGCTGATCATAGTACGTTGCAGATACGTGAAAATCTCGCACATTATTTTGAAAAAAATAAGTTAGCTATTGTGACACTGCGACTTGTAGCAATAAGTGTTAATAATAGCACCAATAAAACTAGATATACCAGTGTCAATGTGTGGAGTATATTGCGTGATTCTACGCGTGATCTCGTAACGTGAAGCCCAAAATTTTGCTAGTACTCTTGAATATTTGTTGCATGGTCTGTGTTTAAAACTTTGTTTTATTGTTATTTTACGTAACGTATAACTTGTTATTGTATTAGAAGAAACTTTTGGCCATTCAACCTTACGAAACTGGTAGGTAAGTTTCTGGGAAGATGTGCATATACGGACGAACATTATAATGCACTCGAGACACGAACGTTCATTTCTCTACGACGTATTGCAACACTTCGTATAACTCCACGTTCTTTACATTTAATGGATTCTGGGGAAGCTATCTTTCAAACAAAATCAACTCACTTCGCCAATTAGATTTTTAACAATGACTATATTTATTGAATTTTCTTCAAACATACATCAGTGACGCCAAAAAATAAAGATTGTATTAAAGTCACACATGAAATTCATTTGATTTAACAGTTGAGCAAAATTTTTCGAACAAGAAAATGGAGCTCGATACATTTTTAGCTCTTTGTTCAAGGTAAATGTTGATTGCACTGATTTTCGGAAGGATATTGTGCAATAAATCGTTTTTCTTAGTGAACTTATGCATTATTAATGCAGAAATATCGCGCTTTTATTGACACTGCTGTTATTCGAAAAATGTTATCTGGGATCATTGGCCGACACGTGCGATATACGTTACATTCGTTTGGATATTTGTTTTACGTATTTTTGTTTATCATCTGAAACTATTATGTTATCCTTGCATGACGCTTTTAATCGGACGTAAATATTGAAACAATTATTTTCAATTTATGTTACAAATAATATCAAATAGACATCACACTTAAATGTGTAGTGATTGCTGTTCATTGCACGTAGAGTCGATGCACAATAATTTTTAAACATTTTTTCTGTTTTTTTCTCACAGCCAAAAAATCACATTTTTCGAAAAAATGAGTTTTTAGCTTATAAATATGGGTCAAAATAATACTTTTTTACAAAACCGTGCGCACGCATATCACCGATCTTGACGCGCTTTTGGTATGTTATAGTACATGGTAAAAAGGTCCCAAAAAAAAATTTTTAGACCCCCTCCCCCCTCCTACCCCCCACTTCCGGTATAAACGTCCATTTTCTATCTATATTTTTTCTGAGGACATGAAGCAAGTAAAAAATCTGAAAAAATTCATAAAAATACTTTTCCACGATCCAAACAACCTTGAATTTTTTCAGATTTTTTACTTGCTTCATGTCCTCAGAAAAAATATAGATAGAAAATGGACGTTTATACCGGAAGTGGGGGGTAGGAGGGGGGAGGGGGTCTAAAAATTTTTTTTTGGGACCTTTTTACCATGTACTATAACATACCAAAAGCGCGTCAAGATCGGTGATATACGTGCGCACGGTTTTGTAAAAAAGTATTATTTTGACCCATATATTTAAAAGTAACCATAATCTAGCGTTTTTATAATAATTGATTATATGTAAGAGAATAAAGAGAATGAAAAACGCCAGATTTTGGTCTCAAAAATCTTTATCGGAATGTTGCACAAAGCTTATCAATGTCTACATAGTTATTGAATTAATTTCAATAATTAAAGACCTAATAATGTATAGCATTATTCAACATAAGTTTTGAAAAATATATCACTAATTGTCAAGAAATTAACCAAAGCAAACAACGACGCAGGTGGACGATAAAGAGCTGTCCGGAGCAGAGGAAGAAAAAGAAGTGGAAAAGGCACTGTTGAAACCTCTGCTGTCACTCGAAGACCTCGTGCGCTTTTCGCATCTCGAAGGTGGCAGTGGCGAGTCACTCAGGGCCCTGCTACAGCGTGGTCAGACGGAGACTGGGCCTGGTGGAGCTGCCAACGAGTGGTCAAGTTTCGAGCACGCTGGTATCGGACCCTATTTGCAAAAAATGCTCGCAGCTGCTGCGCCGTTTAAAGGTTTGTCAATGCACACTCGAGGGTTGATATTATTGAAAAATAATAACGATCATTATAATCATTGAGAGAAACCATTCAAGTTTAAATTTATCAATCGTCTGATGCATAAGATGCCCACCTGAGAAAATTAGTCTCGGTTTCGATAGGAAACCTTTTAAAAACAATAGTTAGATTTTCATTGGGATAAAAAATTAAGCGAGAAAATAGAAATAGATTTTATAGCAATTAAGAGCCTATACAATTTATTTCATGATGAAAAAGCCGTGGCTTCCGTAATCCAAGTAGATCGCGTTAGAAGCATAGTAAGAAGTACAAGTTTTTCGAAGGCGTGAAAAAAAAATAGGTCAATGCTTCTGCTCTCGCTTGTGATGTATTTACACACACGCGCAAAATATACGACTTCGCCTTATTGCTTTGCTGCCTGCTGGTCTTCGCGTTACAGGCAGAAGTTCAAAAAACAATGGTGCGAAAACCAGTCGTATATAAGTCTTCGTTAATCAATAAAAGCCGAGTTGGGAGTGGGTTCAGATAAACCGCTGACATAACCTGCGACGAAAGAAAGAATGAAAAGGCGGACAAAAGAAAAAAATGTACTTTTATGCATATACGTGTCATTTTCCATCGACTCGATGTTACGTAATTTAAAAAATATTTTGCCGTAAAAACTGGCTTCAGCAAAGAACAAGACATTTGGTAAATTTTCAAACTCTCCCGCTCGGCGTAAAAAACATCGATGATGAAAGAAAACGTCGAGTCGAAGTAAGTTTGACGAGGAACAAACCTATATATAGCCACTGTTGTCCATTGTCGGGCGCGTTGTTTTCTTCGATTAGCTTTGTCTTGATTTTTTCGTCGCTTAACTTTTAGACGATTTCTAAGAAACCTTTCAACGCGTATATAATAATAACTCGGAGCCACACGCTTCGTTAAGTAAAACTTTTTCTTTTTACACTAGTACTCGAGGTTTATTTATTTGAGAGCCCAGCTCTCAAATTGAATTATTAATTAAAAAAAAAGACGCAGTAACGCGATGCACATTTTTGGCGGAAAAAATATTAAATTTCAATTCTTAAATACCAAAACACGTGTGCGAATGAATAATTTAGCTTCTGAAAATATACTTTATGCATAATTATGCATAACGCCGGTACTATAAAGTAATGAAGTAATGATATTCAGGTTTCTAAATGCATAAGTTAGAAGTAGCTCACTAGCTTTACTATAATACCATGTATGAATGCCTACCATGTAGAAGCACATAAATCTGCAGACTGTGCCGCTCGTGTGACCCATGTACAGTCGGACTTTTACTATAACAATCGAACTTTCATAAGCAGTACTTTAGGGTAGAACATTCGCAATTACTTATAGAACCCATAGATTAATACTTTCTTCTACACCGATGAAATTTTTAGAGGTAATTCAATAACGACTTTAGTTTTTTGTGGTTTTTATCATACTCGTTTTTCATAAGTCTTTAATGTTATTCCGGCGTTTGAACAAAAAAAATTACTAATACGTCTGCGGCAAACCATGTATAGTCAATTCTTTTTAACGAAATAGCTTGGCTCTTGTTGTTATCATTGTTTTTACAATTGCGATAGTCTTTAATTAAAACGGGTTTAAAGAGTTACTCACTAAAGTAACTTTAATGCTTTATAAACTTGTAATTTACAATTGATACAATTATTTAAATTTGTTATGTATTTGCAAAATTAGGAATGGATCCAGAAATTATGCGTCGTCTAATGAACGAGGATCAGAAGAAGATGAACGTCAACGGGGAACAGGTACAGCATCTTCATCACGCCTCGTTACAGCATCGTCTCACGGTAATTTGCCTTGAGCCATTCCTATGAATCACAAACACGTTACTCGCATTAATCGTGTGCATAACTCAAGCGAAATGTACGTCAAAACGTAAGATTCTAATTGAAACGTCGTTTGTTACAGGCTGGACAAAGAGGCCCGATGACGAACGACGACTTCAATCCAACGATCGAAGACGAGGCGAGCGACAGCGGTCAGGGTCGACCCATACTCAAAATTCCGTCCTACAAGCCGGCGAGTTCAGCCGGCTCGAGCAAGAACAACGTCGAGTCGGTGGCGGCCGCGGCGTTCGCCCAACAGTTCGCGGCGGCCGCAGCAGCCGCAGCCGCGGCCAACGCGGTCGGGACAGCCAGTCCAGGACTGCTCGAGCGAGCCAGCCCCGCGTTCTCGGGCACGAGCTCGCCCACGAATTCGCTCATCGGCAAAGGCATGGCCGTAAACTTTCGCGATGTCATTGCCAAAAGCATAAGCAGCAAGTTCCAGGAGGGCCAGTCAGCGAGTTCCGGGCCCGCTGGCGCCGCTCAGTCGATGATCTCCGAGTCGAACCCCTACAAGCGGGGTCGGTTCACGCCACCGCACGGCCAGCCACAGGGCCAGCAGTCGAAGCAGTCGGCCGCGGCTCAGCAGGCCGCCCAGGACAAACAGAACAAAAATGCCTCGGGGGGCAAGGGCACGAGACCGAAGCGCGGCAAGTACCGCAACTACGACCGAGACAGCCTCGTCGAGGCGGTCAGGGCCGTGCAAAGAGGCGAGATGAGCGTGCACAGGGCTGGTAGCTACTACGGCGTTCCACATTCCACGCTCGAATACAAAGTCAAGGAGCGGCATCTCATGAGACCGAGGAAAAGGTAAACATTTCGTCGTTTAACTTTTTTATTTGCTACCTATAATAATAATAATAATAATAACGTGTCGATTTTACGTCGCAGGGATCAAAAGCAGCCGGACGATAAAACGAAAGATGCACCGATGTCGTCGAGTGCGACGCTGCGTACGACGCCATCCGTGTCGCCGGAGAAAAAACCAATGATAAAGCCACCACAAAGCAAGCCATTCGCGCCAGCCAGTGGCGCGAACGCTGCTAGCGGCGTGCCAGGACCGAACGGCATGAAGATGCCATCCTTCATCGACGGCATGCCGCCGTTGCCGTTCGGCCATCCCTTCAACTTCTGGAGCCCGACGCCTTTCATGCCAGGCCCGACGGCTTTCATGTCGGGCAGCGGCAGCAACGTACCTGCTTTGATTCCGGAGCAGTACTTTGCGTCGCAGCGCATGCGAGGCTTGCAGGAGCAGCAACGTAACAGCGGCATGAGCCAGCAGCAACGGGACGCAGCGGGCGCCACGGGGGCCTCGAGCGATCAAGAAGCCGCCGCGTCGAATGCGCGAACCAGCTCGCTGATCAAGTCGCCGCGCGAAATGGCAGAGAGTCTGTACGAAGGAGGATCGGCGGTGAACGGCAGCTTCCTGGACAACCTCATCAGGTCGAGTCTGGAATCGGGCATGCCGCGCGATAGGTCGCTGGCTGAGATGCGAGGCGGTAATTCGCAGCAACAGCAGTCCGAGAACCTGAGCACGTCGTCGACGGGCAGCAAGGTTCTCATCGACCAGCTCTGCTGGAACTCGAGGCCGAATCTGGTCAGGCCGATGCAGACCGACAGCTGCAGCGAGGACGAAGGTGGCAAACCCTCGAGGCCGGAACGCGTGCCTACCGTCGATTTGAGCTCGTCGCCGCGACATTGTACGGACGAGGGTAGCGATCGGGGGCTAGCCTCGCCGCCTACGCCTGTATCTCTGTCGAGGCTCAGCAGCTCGGCCAGGGATGATGAAAATTCCAGGGGTAGCCGGGAACGCGAGGTAAGCTTCAACCAGCCTCTAACTCCAGCACTTACTACTTTTCCATTCTCTTTCCATATTTTCTATACATATGATTTCTTACATATTTTAGACATTAATGTATATTGGCATTCGCGAGCTTTCTCATCACACCGACACGCATTGTGGTAACGGTGTATTATTTTGACAAAAAAATTATCACATCTCGTGAACTTATCTTATTTGAAATCTACGAGTTCTTAATCCTGGTGGTATGATTGAATACAAAATTAATTCAAAATTATTGAATTCGAAAATACTATGGCTTCATCTAGTTAAAATTTTATACGTACTTTTTTCAAAGCAATATAAGTACCACTTCATAGTTTTTCTCGTTCTTCAATTTTATAACAAAGCATAATCTTTTAATTAACTTAAAATTATTTGACTACCTTCATAATTATTAATCGATGGTATACATACATCCAATTAAGTAATAAATCTAATTTTTATTAATGCTTACAGCACTGATTTTCACGAATAAAAGTAATGTTGTTGATAAATTCGTGAAGATTTGTGCTCATATTATTCTTTGCAAACTCACAGTAGTTGAATGCTTATTTATGACTATATTTCTGTAGGTAGTATCACGATTAGAGACTATAATGGCTTCTGTGGGACACAACGGTGATAGTTAAGGGTACGGAAGTTTCATAGAATGTATCGGATCATATGGCTACTAATGACTCATCTATTGAATATTATCCTTTATTGAATATTATTGCAACTGTCTTTTTTCAATTTGATTGCATAATCACAAAAGAGTAATATTTTGTGCAGTTATCATCGAGTGGCGTGAATTAATGATGTTGAAAAATTTGAAAAATTCGGCTGTCAAATTTCTGTACATGTTCACGCTTTTTTGCTTTATTAATCGCAATTCACTGATTATCGATTCATTATTTAATCATAGACTACATTATTTGCACACTAGCAGATGGATGTAAAAATCTCGATGTAATGACGCAATAAACTTGAAAAATTATAATTCAAATCAACGACATAATGTAGTTATGCACTTGATAAGCTTAGTAGTTATAAGATCCGAGTTGATCATTCACTTATTTAAAACATTAGCATACTTGAGCCGTCGTAGGGTCGCGATGGAATTGTAAGATTAAAGAGATAATTGCTTTAACGCAGGTACAGAACGGAGGTGGCAGCGAAAAAGAGGACGAGCGCCCACATCGGGCCTCGAATGACAACAGTAATAGCGACATCAGCAACTGCAACAGTAGCGGCGGTGGGGGCAGCAAGAAGCTGAACCACTTTTCGGACATTACGACAGCTGACAACAAGCTCATCTTCAAGAATGCCGTGTCAAGCGACAACAAAAAAAGTGCCTGTGATAGTAAGCTTATAGTAGATCATTCGAGCCAGCAAAAGACTCATCAGCATCAAGCCAAAAAGGATTTGGTGTTGGGAAGTAGCAACGGGCGTCCGGCCAACGCTCTCAACAGCGGCAGTAGTCCAGGTGACGAAGAGATCGACGACGAGGAAGAGGATGACGATGGCGTTAGGTCGCCCTTACCTTTGCTGCATCATCATAACAGTCAAGAACAAGTCTTGGTGGATGCTTCGCCGAAGCCGCCTGTAGTCGTGGCCATGGAGGAGGCAGCCGTCGAGTAATGGTCGATTACTGCATTTGGTTCAGCAGCAGCAATGCCATCATCGTCATCGGCGTTATCGTCATTGTCAGCGCATAAACGAGATAAGCGACATAAAACAAACGATGAGATGATACGATTACATTAATTATATAGCAAAAAAGTTATGAGCGCTCATAATATTAAGTATACTAATGTTATACGCTTAATTCATTAAAATTGTAGACAAAGACAAAAGCATTTTGCCACGGGCCGCGGGGTGCTGATGCAATTTATAGGAAAAAGAAAAGTTTATTATTAAATCAAATCGAGATTATGAAGACGCGCAGTTTGAAGTTCACACTCATACCCATACACGCATACACAGCCATGATCACACGCTGACGTACGTTGTAAAATTGACGACGAGTATTCTTCTCGATACGGATCGTTTACATTTGAGCTCGTTGTAGAATAACGCGTATAATACGTGCGCTAGTTCATAGTCATACAGTAAAAAAGATCTCGCGTTCACGGGAAAACGATTTTTCTTGATTGCGACCAATACACTCATACTCAAACACATACTATTATTATAAAAAAAATTAAAGATATACGCGCGCTAATCCGTATACGTTGAAAAAATGTCCTATATCATATACTCTGTCTTATCTACATTGTCGCGCGTAATATCGCTGTCTCGTTACAACCCATTTTTTTAATCGTTTTTGGCTCAACCCAGTACTACTTGTAAAGTATATAAAAAATATATATTTCGATGCGATAGGTCATTGCATATGATACATATAAATATATAGGTACGAGTGCCTAACACGGAGAAATAAAGTGTGTATAAAAATTACGAAAATTATAGTCTGTATTTATATCAGTAATTGACTATACTACAAAAAAAAAAGAAAAAATTGAGAAAATCCTCTTCTTCGCGAATGTGTTTTGAAAGACTAAAAGCAAATGCATTATATTCTTCTTCCAGCGTGAATTTGGATTTTCGTTGAGAACGAAAGAATTGATATTTTGGTGCTTGAAAAGATAGAATTTATCTGATACGAAAGTCTTCGTACCTTGGCTTATCTCTATCTTCTATAAATCTTATCTGATCTATCTAAAACTACTTTTCTACAACTGCAGTTGGCTTCTGCACATCTTGCTTTCCACTGTATACCTAGCCAAATTTATTCGTCTCCTACTTTAATGCCCTTGATTCAATTTTACACAAAACTCCTCTCCTACAACATCGAAATTAAATAACTAATTTAATATTAACACACAACGACAACAAATAACGCGCAAAAGTTTCGGTCTGACTTAGAGAGTCTCGAGATTAAAAATCATGTATAAGAAGATACATGATTGAAGCATTGAGCGCCAGATAATAATGCAAAAATACGTACGCTGCTGTATGTACAGATAGTTGTCGTACGTCAACAAACAACCATAAATACCCACGATTCCGACTGTTAATGCAAACCACGACTCGAAAATTCAATGTAAAAAAATAAATAGTACTTTATCATCGAGTCCGAATGGTTCAAGCTTTTGACCAATGGAGAAAGAATGACTTAATATAAGAGAGAATGAGAGCGAGAGATTGCGATAATTAACAAACGAGACGATATATAAAGAAAAAATTCCAAAATTGAGCACATTTTAAGTTAATGTGCTTTAAGTTTAGGAAGTGAAGGTGTCACAAAAAAACACACATACACAAACACATACTCAACAAATCGTTACACAATTAGAATTAAATAAATGAAACACTGTTTGCAGAAAAACACACCTTATTGTCTAAACACTAGCGCAAGACTGCATAACCCCATCGTGAAAAGTATACTCTGAAATTATTATTCCCTTCCTATGAAAAAATCACAATATACGTGTGAGAATATAAAAATCTCGCACAGCGAGATCACAAAGTAAGCAGATAGGTGTGATGTACAATTGTGTTAGAGGATGTATAATATTGGTGAGGCGAAAATGCTTACCCGTGTACCAAGGTTTTACTATAAACTGTTTCTTCGTAAATCTATCGATATCTTGATTAGTTTAAATTATGAAAAATCTTGCAAAACGTCAGAAAAATACAAAAATGATAAAAGATAAAACTTAAAGAGGTTTAGGAGAAAAAAAATTTTTAAACGCAACGTTTTATTTTCTCTATCGGTGTGAAACTACCTAATAAATAAAAAAATCAACATAAACCTACTATTGAACTCTATCTAATGGTTAAGTCGACAACAATATATATTATATAAGAATGATATATTATATATACGTATACACATATACATATATTTTTGGTCATTAATAAAAAAAAAAATAAATAAAAAAGAGGGAAGAAATAGGAAGATTTAGATTATTCTGGATAAGGCGATGATGCACGCCAAGTCTTTTGTTGGTACGTGTCATCTCATAAGTGACAATATTCTTAAAATCGCAGATTCTTCGGCAACAGGATAAACTTTAGGAGGACAGTAGATATTTTGAAGATTTGGAAAATACAACATCTGTCAACGAGCAAAAATATAACTAAAAGCTAAAAAATGTACTCAAGATTTAGATCAAATTGGTCCTTTTTGCCTCTGAAGATAACTGTATGGAGAATCATGATTAAAAGTCCACATGTTTTTATATAAAAGTTTTCAATTTTCTACTACAAACTCTAAAGTTTTACTGTAGAGAAAATATCAAGAATACAATGAACTACCCTGCAACCATTTTTCCTGATTGTCGGACCAACAAGTCATGCGTTCATCGCTGCTTTTATCACCGTCACAGTCAAAAAATTCATTTTGGACGTTCTTGTAACTTCGGTAAAGTAAAACTTTTTGGATGCACAACTTGACACACAAATGAAATAACGGAGCATTCAATATTAAGAGTAACGGAATAAATTTATGAACTATTAGAAGATTTCAATCCTCGTCCATATTATTATTCAACTAAAAGAAAATCTGTGTTTATCACTATCGCGCATCCTGTATTTGCAAGTTCCTGAAGCTTCGCTTCCGAGCCACTTGGCGATCGCAGAGTTACTGATGAAAAGCAAAACGAAAATTGAAGATTCCTCTGTGCTCCGTTACTTTTATGGTGTGTACGCTTCAGCATCTGTACTAGAAATGTAAGATTTAACGACAATTCCTTATGAGTCCAAAAATAATGAAACGTGTGATTTTTGAAAGATTCGTAGTTTCGAAGATGAGCAGAAAAAAATCACTTTTTATAAAATGCAGGTAGTTTTTCATTTGACAAAATTCAACAAGTTGCAAATTCAAAAGAAAAAGTTTCACGAGAGAATGATACAAAATCCAGGTACTGAGAAAATCATTGCCATAAGTTTAGATTTAATAAGGAAATGTATATTGACATTTTTTAAAGTTCTTCAAAATATAACGACCATACACTTATCGTGACACTTACTCGACTGAATTTAATATGTAAATAAATTAAGTCATGTATGTTCGGTGTTAAAAATACAAACATTTCCTTATTATGAAAATATTTAGAAACAAATCTACTATTCATAAAAATTAACTTATAGATAACAAGGCTAATCTCTCGATGTTTTTGAAAACTTACTCTTAAATCAGTGCGAGGACTCAAGCACTGCGCGAATTATAGTAAAATTGTGTGGAAGAAACTGAATTTTCCAGTTTCACTTTGTATAGTTGAAAAGTCACAAGATTTTGGGATTAAAAAGTATAATATAATTATAATACGCGTAAAAAATATTTCTAAAAAAATTTTACTATGATATGAAAGAAAATATGAAATATGCAGGAATGTCGCCTAAACGTATGGAAAGTTCAAACTGCTCTGTGTTCGGAGATGAAAAAATTAAAATAACTTGCATTCTATGAATTGTCATACATAATTCTTTAAGGCGCGGACTCTTTATAAGTGTTAACCTACCCTCTTCTCTTGAAATGACGAAAAAAATCGAGAAGAAAGATTCTTAAAAAAATTCATTTGGCTATACTTAAAAATGAAAATTACTTTTCAATTCTTGAGTGGTTTTTTATTTTGAATTAATTTTTATCTTACATTTTTAACCGAATTCACCAATTAATAAAATAAAAATGTTTGAAAGTTGCAAAAACATATTGATTTTTCATTAATTATTTTTCTTCTCGAATACTTTTTTCGATGAGAAAATCTCACTATTATTGATGTGAAAATAGTGTATAATTGTGTACAAATTAATCTCTCACTATTATGATTGACGTTTTCTAAAAAAAATCAAGATACTCGTTACATTAATATTCTAGCTTAAAATTTAGAGCTGATCTTCGTGTTGGAAATAAATTAAAACTCAAGTGTCGAACTTGTTCTAAAATTTAATGATTGAAGTCCTTTGAATAAAAATATTTTTCGGTGATACTCCTTCATTAAATTACATCAATCATTATTTTCAAATTATAAAGTTAATAGCATTGAGTATACGCATTTATTATTGAAACAAGCTAAATCGTCAAGGGTTTTCAATTTTTTCAACTTTAAATTCGTTACTATCAAAAATTATTCCTTGTATAACGTGAGTAAATAACTAATCTGATATAATAGTTTTAAAATAATTTAATTTTAATTATACAATTTTTTTACCCTAAAATCCAGAAATTTTATTAAACCGACTTAATAAAAGGAACATTGTTATGGTACATTAGCATGAAAAAAATTAATAAAAAACGCACTTTTTTCAATGAAGCAACTTTGATCATAGTGAGTTTTCAGATTAGATCAAACCGAATATCTAAATCAGAATATTTTGGGAATATCAGTACGATTTTTCTTTGATCTTTCCAATTCAGGGTTATTTCTTGATATTGCAATCTCGTTCAATATTTTTTAATCTATCTAAGTATGAAAAAAATTATACTTTTAGGAGAACTAATTAGTTATTAAACACTGTAATGTAAGTGATTCTTTAATTGTGTAACAATACCACAACGTTGCCTTTACATACGTGATTTTTTGATAATTTGAAGCGAATCATAATGTGTTCTGAGAAGCGTGTAAAGATCTTATTATATTTAAATTGATATAACTTATGAACGTGTATGTGTATCCTATACCAGGCTTGAAACATACACTCAAAATGAATGTGGCACTGGGTATAAAGAAAAAATTTGCTGAATATTCATCTGGAAAAATCAAAGCTTATCGTACTTTTCCCTTCACGAAGACAGGCGAATTTAAGAACGTATATTTATAAATTTATTAATCAAGACATAGATACGATGAAACTTAACAATGAGAAAACGAGATGAAAAAAGACAAATTTTAAAAATAAAGCGAACATAAATATATATAAATAAATATATATTATATTATTAAAGTATCTGTGATGTAAAAAGTAACAAAATTTTGATGTATATTTTTCACAAGATATGGTAATCAGCTAATGTATAGTTCAATAAGTCATCTAAAGTAACTATTGTAATTACAGAATGACGGAAAGAGAAAAAAATATTATACGATGATATAACATGTATTATTTGGAACTTATAAAAAGCGAGTTTAAAGTTGAGTGACTTCTATTAAAGTTGAGGTCCTAAAAAAATGAGATAGGCAGATGGACTCAAGATGATGAGCATTGCCACATTGTTAAAATATATAAGTAGGTAGTTAACTTTTTTTATTGTAAACAAATTTTTTGTCTAAAAATTTAGGGAAATTTTGAATTGTTTTAAAAGCTAAAAATTAGTTAATTTTTAGTAATTTCCAAAGCTTGGAAAATGTTAAATTTCATCTGAAGCTGCTCGCCCATCATTTTGAATCCATCATTTTTCCAGATTTATTTTCCTCAAATATATAAGTGCAATTAAAGTAATCTTGTGAGGAAAATGAAAATGATGTATAATTACAAGAGTTTAGATATTTGTTGCACGAAGGCATCTAAAAGTAAT